TGTAGAAAGGTTCGTAATCACTGAATACCGCTTCAGATCACATACTTGCTAGTCTCTAATATTCAGTTTCAGTCTTCGACATTCGCTGAAGGTTCTTTSRTGTGAGTGTTGTCTTCTTGAAGTATTGTGTCTCTGAGATTTACAAAGCAAGTTCTTCAGCGATCACTGAACATACTCAGTGTCTGATCKCTRGAACTGAAAATACAGAAACAAAATTACATCGATAGATAAAAGGAATTATCATCAAATCACTGAGAGAGAGGATCAACACTCCGGCTGTTCTAAGCACATGACTAGTAGAAAAGATTTATTAGCTAACTATGTTGAATCTTTTGGAGGTACGGTAAGGTTTGGAAACAATCAATACGCGCCTATCCTTGGATATGGTGATGTAATTTATGGGAACTTAACTATTAAGAAAGTGTTGTTTGTCGAAGAACTTGGACATAATCTGTTTAGTATAGGTCAATTCTGTGATAAAAATCTAGAAGTTTGTTTTAAAGCTAACCAATGCAGCATCCGAACTATTGATGGTAAGGAGCTCTTAGATGGAATCAGAAGATCAAATCTCTACACGATTGACCTATCCAATACACAAGTGGATACTGACGTCTGCTTGATATCCAAGGCATCCTTTAAGCAGAATCTGCTATGGCATCGGCGACTTTCATACTTGTACTTCAAGTATCTCAACAAGTTGGTTTGTGACAACTTGGTCAAAGGCATCCCAGAACTGAAGTTTCATAAAGACCACGTATGCGGTGCATGCGAGATGAGCAAACTGAAGAAAGCTTCACACAAGCTGAAGACAGAGTTCAATACCGAACGTCCTGTATACCTACTACATATGGATCTTTGCGGTCCTATGCGAGTCCAAGGCATCAACGGTAAAAAGTATATACTGGTCATAGTCGATGACTATTCTAGATATACCTAGGTTCATTTTCTGCGATCAAAGGATGAAGCGGCTGAGACGATTATTTCATTCTTGAAGACAGTCCAAAATAATCTGCAACTTCAAGATTAGAAAATAAGAACTGACAACGAAACTGGATTCAAGAACAACACATTCGGTTCATTCCTCGAATCCATCGATATTTCACATACGTTTTTGGCAGCCCAGACACCGCAACAAAATGGTGTCGTTGAGCGAAAGAACAGAACGTTGGTGGAAGCAGCACGGACACTACTTACATGCTCCAATCTTCCATTATTTTTATAGGCTGAAGCAGTAGCAACTGCTTGTTTTACCTAGAATCGCTCACTTGTAAACAAAAGGTTTGGTAAAAGTCCGTATGAAATAATAAATAAAAGAATACCTAATATCAAATTCTTCCGAGTTTTTGGTTGCAGGTGCTTCATTCTAAATGACAAAGAGGACAGAGAGAAGTTCGCTGCTAAAGCTGATAAAGTAGTCTTTGTTGGCTACTCAAAGACATCTGCCGCATATAGGGTCTACAATAAAAGGACCAAAATCATCAATGAAAGCATGAACATATCCTTTGATGAAGTCATTGATGTGGCTTCTGAATAATTCAGTTCAGGACCAGGGCTGATAATTAACACTACGTGGAAAGCTGATCAATCTGAGTCATCTAATACTGATAAAGCTGATTTAGATTCCTTGTTTGAGAACTTTTATGAAGAATATTTTGAAAATAAATATAATCAGTCTAATGTTTTGTCCAGGGATAATCCAAGTGAACAACAGTTATCTGGTCCATCTCCCGATGTGCCAGTAACTGAAACAGAAGAGGAAACGAAAGTAGTAGATGAAGAAATAGAGATGGAAAATCCGAACAATCCCGTTCAGCGTGAAGAGGGTGAAAATTCTGGAGTGCAAGAGATATCGGTCGAACAAGACAAAAATAATCTACCTCAACCAGATATTCAACCTATTCCAGTTTCTAATATTGAACCTTCACCTGAACCCGTTCCTATAAACTCCCCAAGTACTTACACTGATCAAAACTCATATCAAAGCTCCTACATTCCCCTACCTCATAGCAAGAAGTGGACCCAAAATCACCCAATACATCAAGTAATTGGTGATCCATCAGCACCCATTTGTACACGGTCTGCGATGGCTAATGAGTGTCTTTATTCCACGTTCTTGAGTACTATCGAGCCGACTATGGTTTCTAAAGCCTTAGCTGATCCGGATTGGATATTAGCCAAGCAAGATGAGCTGAACCAGTTCGAAGCACTCAAAGTCTGGAGATTGGTTCCATGTCCCAACAACAAGACAATTATCGGTACCAAATGGGTATTCAAAAATAAAAAGGACGAAGATGGTGTTGTGGTCAGAAATAAGGCCCGGCTCCTTGCTAAAGGATATAATCAACAAGAAGGCGTTGACTATGACGAAAGTTTTGCCCCGGTTGTAAGGATTGAAGCAATACGGATGTGTATAGCGTACGCGGCACACAAAAGCTTCACGGTGTACCAGATGGACGTCAAGACAACATTTATGTATGGTCTTCTYAAGGAGGAAGTCTATGTTTCACAACCGGAGGGTTTTGTTGATCAGTCAAAGACGGATCATGTCTACATCCTTGACCGAGCTCTTTACGGCCTTAAACAAGCTCCGAGAGCCTGATATGACATTTTATCAGAAGTTCTGGTAAAGTCTGGCTACTCAAAAGGTAATATTGACACAACCCTTTTAATTAAAAAGGAAAAGTCTGATATTATTTTGATACAAATTTATGTAAATGACATAATATTTGGATCTACAAACCCCAAATACTATAAAAACTTTTCTGCCTTGATGGTTTCCCGTTTTAAAATGAGTATTATAGGTGAGATGAAATTCTTTTTAGGTCTTCAAGTAAAACAATTATCTTCGGGTATCTTTATTTGTCAAACTAAATAATTTTTAAATATCCTGAAAAAATTTAATATGGAAAATTGTTCATCTATCAAAACACCTATGGCTCATGGAACGAAAATACATCCTGATCCGTCTGGAAAAGCTGTAGATTAGAAAACTTATCGAGGTATGAGAGGTTCTTTAATGTATTTGATGTCTTGTAGACTTAAGATTATGTTCTCAACACATCTTTGTGCCAAATATCAGTCTAATCCAAAGGAGTCCCATCTTAAGTGCCATCAAGCGCATTTTCCGATATCTCAAAGGGACTGCTAATCTTGGACTCTGGTATCCCAACGGTACTAGTTTTGAACTGACAGCTTATTTAGATTCAGACTATGCAGGCTGTATATTGGACATGATAAGTACATCATGACATCTACAATTTTTGGGAGACAAACTAGTCAGCTAGGCATCAAAGAAACAGAACTGTGTTTCCATTTCCACTGCCGAAGTAGAATATGTAGCTGCTGCAAGCTGCTGTTCTCAAGTGTTATGGATGCAGACACAACTCAGAGACTACGGGTTCTATTTTAATAAAATTCCAATTTACTGTGATTCCAAAAGTGTTATTGCTATTTCCTGTAATCCTGTTCAATACACTAAAACCAAGCATATAGATATCCGGTATCATTTTATTAAAGATCATGCAGAAAAAGGAACCATTGAACTGTATTTTGTAAATACATAATTTCAATTAGCTAACTAATTTACGAAAGCTTTAGATGAAAAACGCTTTAACTTTCTTGTATCTAAGTTAGGTATGTTGAATTTGAAAATTTGAATTTTTATTAAAAACAGTCCAATTTATTGAATTGTATTTAATTCAAATTCATTTGGTCAAATATCTATATTTTTTAATACAAATCAGTGTTTCAATTTTTCTATCTGATTTTAAATTTTTTGATCGTGGGGATCTATATTTGAGGGGGAGTGTGGTTTTTTATTTGTGTTTTGAATAACTGATCATATTTTGAGAGAGAGTGAATTTTATTTGTATTGAACTAACAATTTATATTTTTCTTACAAGTATTTTGAGCATTATCTAATTTTTTGAAAGATGTAGAGTTTAGAAATATAAGTGTTTGGCCGATTTAGTCTAATCCGGACAACACTTGTTCGATTTATTGCAAATCCGAACAACACTTGTCCGATTTAGACTAATCCGGATAAAATGCTATATGACAAACTTTTATCCGGATAAGGTTAGATATGCTTTACAAGGGATTGAGCGGATTAGTAAATCGCTTCTTTGCTTTGATCGGATTCTTAAATCGCCTGTCTCATATATTCTTTCAATTCCATAAATCGTTCATTTCTTGTGCGATTTAGTCTTTCTTTTGAGCGATTAAGTATTCTTCGTTGAGCGATTTATCTTTTAATCGATTGAATCTTGAGCGATTTATTCTTAAACCAGACAAGTCTTGACCGGTGTTCTTCTAAATCGCCTATGTCTTGAGCGATTTATTGTCCTGATTAACACTTAGTTGATTCTTATTCCCTAAATCGGACACCTCTTGACCGATTTATTCTAATCCGGACAACCTTTGAGCGGTTTAGAATTTGAACGGGTTTTGACTTTGACTATAAATAATCAATCCATTTTTTACTTATCATTTTTTACTTTCACTCTCATACTGTTCATCGTCTCTGGCCGTATACTCCTGGTTTATCGCTCAAGCATTTCAAGTTCTTCGAATCAAATCTGTTTCATCTCCATTCTACAATTATTAAGGTTCCCA